AGGCTGCAGTCGGTCCGGAGCCCGCCGATACTGCAGTCGATCCGGAGCCCGCCGAGGCTGCAGTCGATCCGGAGCCCTCCGAGACTGAAGTCGATCCGGAGCTTGCTGTGGTAGATCTTGATGGGGAGTCGCCAGCCGAGATCGCTGGTGCAGACCTTCCGGGTGAGAGCATCGCTGAGATGGAAGCTCTTGCATGTGCACCCCTGCCGGGCCTTATTGAGAGCATCGATGAGATCGAGGCTTGCCAGGAGATGATCGAAGCTTGCACCTGTGCAGAGGAGCCGGGCTTTTCTGCGGGCGAGGTCATCGCGATCGATGACGAGATGGAGGTGCCTGCTGCTCCGAAGCGAACAGCGGAGGACATGGAAGCGGCCCGGATTGCAATTTATCGTGCTCGTTCTACGTGTGTTTTCTTGCCAGTGGCAAATTAATCATTGAATGAGTGCGAAGGATGGATCGTACAAGTACCCCGCGCCGTTGCCCGTGCCCAGCATGGACGCCATCTTGGAGAAGGCTGCTGTGGCCGATGCTCCTGTCTACGGTGATCAGGGGCAGGATGGTGGTGCGGCGAAGAAGCGCCGCAAGGTTCCGAAGGACCGTGTGGACGCGAAGGTCGCGAAGGGCGATCCGAAGGCCGCTGATGCGGCTGCAGTGGCCGTGCCAGGCATGGCTGCGGCTGAGCTGCCAGAGGATCTGTCAGGCCTCACGAGACAGGAGCTCATCGAGAAGCATCGTGCCTTCGAGCCGCCAGTGCATGTGACTACGAACCACGTGTATAGCAACACGTACCACAATTTTGCCAAGAAGGGCCCCACGGGGATGCAGCTACGAGCCAAAGCACGGCAGTCTACGGGTATCTTCAAGCAGCACCGGCTTTGCCTTCCAGCCTTGGTTACCAGCTTCCGTGCCAAACATGCAGCCAGAAAGCCAGCCGCTGAGGAGGAGGATGGCCCGGCGAAGTCATGAAGCCGTGGTGGCAGGATCTTTAGCTTGTCCAGGGCTCCAGCCTCGACTATGCCTGCCCGGATCTTTCGGCCCCCGGCCTTAAGACGCAGCTATATCTATACTAAAGAGATATAGGTCTAGACCTGGAACAGGCATGGAAAGGGCTCTTAATTGCCGCTTTTCCAATCGCAGTGTTCTGCAGTTGGCGGCTGCAAGTTCCGTTGCTGTGAAAGTGATGAGTTGCACGCTGCATCGCCTGTATGCATACCACTCATGTCTGCAGTCTCGTGCATGCATCGCCTGCAGACTGCCCTCGCCAGTCCTCAAGCCGTTGTTCATGCATGCATGTTTGCAAGCAGCACACAGACTCAGATACTTGTGTACGGCATGCCGGGTGAGAGTGTGACGCCCCTGAAGCGACCTGCAGCAGCCGTTCCTGCTGCTGTGCCGCAAATATTTTCTGTCTCTGCACACGCGAAGTCTCT